CTGATGAAGATTAAAGACTTCAGTCTGCAGTATGGATTACATCTCAACATAAAACAAAAATCCTTATAACTGGACCAATGAGTAGTATCACAATAAATGGAGAAAAGATTGAAGTTGTTAAAGGTTTCATATTACTTGGTTCCACACTCAACACCAATGGAAGCAGCAGTCAAGACATCAGATGTTATATAGCATTGGGCAAATCTGCTGCAAAAGACCTCTTTAACATGTTGAAGAGCAAAGATGTCTCCTTGAAGACTAAGATGTGCCTAACCCAAGACACAGTATTTTCAATTGCCATGTGTATTTTCAAATGCATGTGAGAGCTGGACAATGAATAAGGAATACCGAAGAAGAGTTGATGCTTTTGAGCTGTGGTGTTGGAGAAGAATACTGAAAGTACCATAGACTGCCAGAAGAACAAATCTGTCCTGAAAGAAGTGTAGCCGGAATGCTCCTTGGAAGCGAGAATGGCCAGATTTCGTCTCACCTACTTTGGTCATTGTCAGAAGGGACCATTCCCTGGAGAAGGATATCATGCTTGGTAAAGGGGAGGGTCAACGAAAAAGGGAAAGACCTTCAATGAGAAGGACTGACACAGTGGGTGCAATGATGGTCTCAGGTATAGCAAGAATCATCATGAGGCTGGCGCAGGACCCGGGCAGTGTTTCATTCTGTTGTACATAGGGTCGCTATGAGTTGGAGCCAACTCAATGAGACCTAACAACAACAACATTCTATGACTAAAATTGATAATAAACATTACTAGGAATTCTGTATGGTTTGGTACAGGTGGAGGTCTGCATGTGTGTCTGGAGATGAGGTGTGAAACCATAAGTTACCACACTGGGTGACACCAACCCTAGCGGCACCACTGTCTGGAACACACTTTGCTCTTCCAGGATCTTTGCCTCTGTGCCTTTGCACATGTTGTTCCCTCTTCATGTTCATTCTCTTTCTCTCCTGCAGCCCTGCCTTCTGATAAAATCTGATGTGTTGTGCAAATTGCAGCTCAGAGGTCCCCTCTGTTTTGCCTCTCCCACTCCAAATTTCAAGGAACCTCTCATTCCTTCTGCCATATTACCCTTTATGAAGCTATAGTTAATGCATATTTACTTGAAACTTGGGTTGAGGTACAATAGGGTTGAAGTACATTAAATATTCTGGTTAAATAAAAGTTAGCAAGTACAGCTGAAAGATCACTGCACTGTGAGTGGGAGGATGCCGATTTTGGCTTGGCTTGATGGTACTTCTAATAGGTAAGTGTGCAGCAACTAACTCAACCTGTAAACTGTTGGAGTGTCAATATCACCCCCACCCCTGCTACAGCCAGAAGAGCCGGCTATTGCAGGCCAGCT